TCAGTAGCGTGGGCCAGCTTATTCTGGACTCTGACAAGATGGAAATTATAAGGAAGTATATGGAAGCTAATTTCCCTGATGTGCCTGAGGACAGCTGGCTTCAGGTGTGCATCCAGCATATGGAGGATGCACTCGAGGGTCCTCACAGTAACGGCAATGGGAGTGAACCTGACAATATCAACGATGAGGGCTATGACCTGGCCAGCCTTCCTGAAGATGTTTCTATTATTAAGGTTCCCGAGGTGGGTGATTTTGAAAGACCCAGTCGCAAGTCCAAAAAGTCGCTGCTCACACCTGTGGATTTTGACAATCTGGAGATTCCTCTTCCTGACTTTACTGTTCCCCACGAGTACCTCTTGTCCAGGGAGCAGCTGAAGAACAACTATGAATGTAGCTTGTCCATTGGCAACTTTGCTTCTCGGCTGCTGGTGCTTATGTTCCCTGAGCTCTTCACCCATGAGAACACCCGGAAGCAGTACAACTGCAGCGGCTCTCTTGGTAAAAAACAGCTTGATCCCGTTCGGGTAAATCTGATCCGTCATTATGTGCAGTTAGTCTACCCTCGGGCCAAGAACGACAGAGTGTGGATGTTGGAATTTGTGGGCAAACTTGATGAGAGGTGCAGGAGACGTGACACGGAGCAGAGAAGATCTTACCTGCAGCAGCGCAAAGTGTACGGTCAAGAGTCGGAGCAGGACTTTCTTTGCCAGCTGAACCAGCTCAATCCAGATAGCATGAGGGAGGATCCAGATACTCCCTCTTTACCCCCTGAGAAAAGTAGCAAAGACTTTTGTAAAATTCCCCTGGACGAACTGACTGTATCCAAACCTGACTTCCCTGTACCGTCTGTTTACCTGCTCTCAGACACCGAGGTACGGGAAATTGTCCAGCAAAGTCTCTCTGTTGGGAACTTTGCTGCCCGTCTATTGGTGCGCCTCTTCCCTGAGCTCTTCACCCAGGAGAACCTGCGGCTGCAGTACAACCATTCAGGAGCCTGCAACAAGAAACAGCTTGACCCTGTCCGCCTCAGATTGATTCGTCACTATGTGGAAGCAGTGTATCCTGTGGATAAGATGGAAGAGGTGTGGCACTATGAATGTGTGCCAAGCATCGACGAGCGCTGCCGGCGCCCCAATCGCAAGAAGTGTGACATTCTTAAGAAGGCCAAGAGGTCAAGCACTGTGTCCTAGTTACAGTACTTTTCAGTTAGGCAACACTTTTTTGTCATAAAAATAATTGCACAGTATATAAGCTGAAACTGCATTGTTGAACTTTTACAAACTGTCCTGTAGGATGAAGCCAAGCTGTTATGAGTTTCTTCAGTACTATTCTTAGTCATATTTTACCTTTTGACTACAGCAGTAGATGTAGTTTATGTAGTCTTATTGTTGGATAAAGAGTTAAAACTGCTTCTATTTATAAGCCAAAACTGTCATAGCTTATCTAACATACTTTGTTGATAAATGTTGTAGCCTTAAAAACAATAACAATGATAGTAGCTTATAGCATAGATCACACATATGCTCTATGGATAGAAATGAATCACAATGATGTGATATATTTCCATTGCAGTTACTGATGTAGCATTGTGCCACCACTGTTTTAATAACAATGTGCTTATGTTAAGCCTTCTTATAGAAGTTTATATTATAAAGACAATTTAACATGACAATGGATCATGATAACCTATTTCTAATAAAACCACAATATGACATATTATTGGGGTGTTGTACATTATAGCACTAAACTGTTCCTGTTGAAGAGTCTATCTAGGACTTACTGGATATTGACTGCAGTTTTACACCCAGAGCAGAGACAGGTGGACTTGAATTCTGAACACTCCAACAAGTTCCGTACTACGCAACATATATAGTGCTTCTACTAGTACTTTTTTCCTCAATAATAAATATGCAATGAGAGTAACCAGAAAATATATTAGGAGTAGCCCAACATACAACAAAGTTAATGATTGAGATGGAAACAAATGTCACATGCTCTTCATTAGCCAACAACTGGACAGGATTTTCAAATTTCAAAACATCAAAGTGCAGCTTTATTGGGTCTCACAGAATATTGGGGAAAGGTAGACATTCAAAATCTTTCTCCCAACACTTAATGTCGACAAACCACTAAGTACTGTTAACCTTTACATTATACCCTTGTAATCCATTCTAGATTTAACTGGTTGCAGACCTTTCAAACGGCACTCGTTTGATGGTGTCCTCGCCCTCATTGGCCAACTGCATCGCAGTCTATACCGCCCTGTTCAAGTTCATGGCTTAAAGGCCTCATCCTTGGGAAGCTCTATACATTTCCAGCGCCTTACGGCAATTTTGTACTTTTCTGTGGTAGTTGTGTCATCAAAAACCCTCCGGAGGATGACTCTCATCATAGTAACAGTGTTTGTGTCTCGGTTCTCTGACAGTACTAGGTCCAAGGTGTCCCCAACTTTCACCTGAATAAAGAACAAAAATTACAAGAAGTGAGGTAAAAGACATGTGGAAACACTAAGAATTCAGGAATATGTAACTGGTAGTAAAACATCACTCACTGTTCTACTTTTCTTAATGAGTTTCTGTCCATTTATCCTGAGCTTGTTGTTATAAAAGGCGTCCTCAATTTTACTGTTAGGAGACAGAAGACAGTTAGTCCTAGTTGAAAGACTTTTAAAAAAGGGCCTACCGTTACAAGTTACATTTGAATACGTTCATGCAACAAAATTCCACCAGATCAGTATTTCCTCTGAAGCGAAAACGCCACTAGTTGCCAGAGAAACTAAAACCAAGACAAACAACAAATATGTTGTACAAATACTACATCCTTTTCAGCTTGGACATCATTTACTGGCGGAAATTATTTTGTTTGAAAAACTCTGACTGGGGATTTATTAGCCAGTGACTCACTTGCGCGCCATGTCCAGGCCAGCTTTCATGATGGCATCATAGCGAAAGGAGTTTATGTGTTTCGTGATGTCTTTATAGTCCTTTGGTAGATTTGGGTCCTCATCCATCTCATCTTCATAATCACTGTGCTCAGGGTCTTTTTTGTCCTCCTCTTCCTCCTCTTCCTCCTCCTCTGTTACCCTAGCTGCACCTTTCTTCTTGTTGCTTTTAAACCTCAGATGGTGGACAGACCAACCCCTGACCACGTCTCTGCCATGGGAAGCAGGCCTGTGACAGCCAAGAGAGGGGAAAGCCGAGCAGCCCCACAGCTGGCGTGTGTGGATAGCCCTGGGACACCATTCATTCTGCCTCAGTCCATAGCCAGCAGCCAGCAGGTGGCGGGAGTTCAACCTTCCTAGCTGCCTCATGGCAAGTGCATGCACCACCAAACTCTGCATGTTGCTGCTCCACCTAGTCACTAGAAACACATGGACAGTTAGGAAGCATTGTGCTAAATAACTGAGGCAAATTGAAGTGTAAAATTCAATGCGTCAAAAATAACTCACAGATCAATTGGCATCAGGAGTCTGTGTTGGAAATCACCTCTTAAAATGATTCACAAAATTAGTCACCTGCTGGCTACAAGGTCATGAATGAACTGCCATGCCCATTATTTTCGACCTACTTTCCCATACTGCCCTTTTTATCCTATAATTTCACTATTTGTACTATTAATCGTGTTATTTATTGAGATAAATGTGTTGTCTCTTTGTCAACCTTCTTAAAGAGTATCTGGATTAAAGCAAACACTATCCAACTAATCTAAATTTACCTTAAAATAAAAGCCTCATTTTATTTAACGTTATAGCCCCGGTTTGTGTCCCTAATGTTATAATAGATATAGATAAGAGACTGTTTGTTTACAAAACAATGATAGTAAGAGATATTAATTAATTCATATATGGGAAATTGCTTTTGTTGATTTTCCGGAAGTTATTTACAGTTTTATTTTACAGTCGACTCGACCCCAGACGACAACAAACACAGGCCTACGGACGGTAGCGTTGTCACAGTTGAAGAATATTGTATTTTGTATTTTAATAGTAGCTGCTGTTTGTCTACTTTTATGTAATGGCTGTCTGTGTTTGACTGTGTTGACATTTTAAAGGCAAATGTTGACACCGAGCTAAAGCAGATACAGCTAACGTTAGCTAGCTTCACTTTTCTTCAACTAGCTCGTGCACTCATAATCTCAGCCCACGTGCAACCCACCACGAGCTTGCTAACCAACAACAACAGTATAGTCAGATTTACTTTGTTGCTAAATGCTAAATGTGAAGTTACTAACATGCAACGTTCACTTACCTATGGAATAACCTTTCATTGCTTACTGAAGTTACTGTACTTCTGTCTGGGTTATTTGTGTACCAGCCGATGTATAATGTGCTGCCACCTGCCGCACTGGAGGAGAACGACATTACCTGGGCAGGCTGAACACCAAACCGCAATGGGGGTTTTCGTGTTTAATGCAAAACAGTCCACATTTACCATGATAGTCTTTTTTAAATTGAAGCATGATGCTTTCTGACTTTACTACCAGGCTAATTAGATGTGCATAACAAAGGACAGAGCATGAATCCCTTAGTCTATGCAGGTCTCAGCTTTTTCTTTGTCTATGTCTTTATATTACCAGCAACAATAACACACAATGTGGCTATCAAGCTTTCTATCTCTTTTCTTATATCTTAATGCCATTCATTTAATATTTACCTGCCATTGAGTTTTGTGTAGGCCACAGCAGACGTGTTGACTTGTCAGTGTAGGAAAAGCACAGGTGTTACTAATAACATTAACGATGGCTCTCTTCTACTCAGGTGTCCCAGTAAGATCTGACAGTGTGATAATACGACAGTAGGCACAACACCGGGGCACAGAAAGAAGAAACCGACGCAGCTAAATACCATCAAGCCATCATTCATTTTATTATTTACACCTGTGATATTCTTCCAAAATGTCTGTGAAAAATGTCTATTGGTGTCCAAGAACCACCTCCTCCAGTAAACACTCTCCCCAGCCCAAATTTTCCCAGCCAGTCTGAGGATCCAAGCTGGCCACATGTAATGTTTTTTAAATATACATGGGTTTGCCCAAGACATTTATTGCAACTTTTATTTTTCCAGCATAAGATAAAATTGAATACATATTTTAAAAGGTAATCAAGTTATTTATACAGCCCATTTGAATATAATGACAACAAGAACATTTTTTACATTTTACAAGAAGCTTTAAGTGGTCATGTATTGTTTTTATGTATTTGTCAATATATCAGCTTGAATACTTTATTACTTTAAGGGAATTTACATCAACATTCAGCTTCACTACAATTCATAATGTCTAGTGTCACTTCAAGTGCATAATACTGGTGTCACTACATTATTTAAAACAATGTAAGAACAAGGTGTTATTTGCTAGGATGCATACAATAAGTTCCTGTTAGATGTTATAAAAAAGTCTTATAAAGTTTGTATGATGTCCTTGTGTAAACGTAAGTGCATTTACATCCTTGCATATACTGCCTGTAAACTCCACTCAAAAGAGTCAGGGGTCCTCCAGATAAATCAAATATCAACATCCAAAGTCTCTTTAGGAAACATGGTGACACATTGGTGTGTGCTGTGCTCTGTCACTCTCTGAACACATTCAGTATACACTGGACAGTGAAATCACTGTTTTACAGATGAAAAATGAAGCATTATTCCTTTACTATAGACACATAATAGACATATACTACAGTATATCATATACGCTGGTGGTTTACATTCAGGTATGTTTATGGTTTTTAAGATATTGTCTTAGCAGAGGAAAATCATGCAAATTTGAGCATGGATTTAATGACTATGATTTTTTTTTGCAGCTAAATCTATGACAGTGGTGACTGATGTGACCATTACCTGTTCAAATGTATTGTCAATTCAATGTAAACCAGTACTTGTCTTTTCGGACCACAACATTAGTATAATGACATGTATGTGTGTTTGTACCACAGTTGCCGGCAGGTTTTGTTGTGGCAGTAGGTAGAAAAAAAGTCTAATTTAGGACAAAATGTACTTAATTGATCATGGATGATTGATTTTTCACAATGTGGCTCATATGATTAGACCAGGGCTGCCAAAAGTGCCCCAAACTATAAAAAAAAAAAAAAAAAAAAAAATTTAGATAATAATATAAATGGCTTTTTATGGTGTTTTCTTTATTGTGAGGTAAATATGCTTTTAAATATATCTGAGCACAGTGGGCAGAGTGACACTGCAGTCAGTCAATTAAGGGAACTTTCTAGTACTATTTTGCATGTTAACAATACATTACAATACAATAGATTTTTGCTTTTGGCCCATTGCCCACCATTAAGTTTTAGTTTTAGCCCTCAATGGGTAAAAGTTTGGGCAGCCCTGAACTAGAAAGCGTTAGAGAGTTAGATTTTGCAGTTTCTGGGTCAGTCAAGAAAAATCATGTCAGCAATGTTAAAGCAAAAAATCCAACCTAAATCACCTTAGCAATGTTAAATAGAACAATGTTATGATTCTGTTTTGTGGTTTCTTGTGCCCTTGCAGATAACCAAACAGTGACAATGTGTCAGCACATTGAGATAATTCCAACATCTACAGTGGAGGTTTGTAGGACAAATATTTCAAAAGCATCAACTGTAAACATCAGTTTTTAGGTGGTAGTCCTTCAATATCCAAAAGAAAGGTGTGTTTCCCTCTGGAGCTGCCATATAGCACCAACAGTCAACAGTCAAACATGAAGAAAATCCATAGTAGAAGAAGTCTATCAAATTCTCCATCCCACAGTAGCCTCAATAGATCAGAATGCAACAGAGGTTTGTTCATTTTTCTCAATTAGAAGAGTGGTTACTCTGCTTTTTACTATCTTTATCTTCACTTTCCAGCAACACATGAAACCCACAGCTGAAAATAGGTTTATACCTCTGTTCTGCAAAAGGCATTCTGGGAAATGCAGAAAGTCACTAACTGAAGTAGAAATAGATTCGGCATGTTGATAAAAAAGTAGGTACAAGAATAAAGTAAAATTACAACACTTCACACAATTAATGCAAATTTTTCCAACGTCAGAGATTGGTATAACAGTGAGTGAGTATCCAAGAGTTCATTTGTCTCTTTTGGACTGGAGGTTTCCATATTGATCAATGTATCGTTGTGATATGCATAAGCGCAACCGATATCCCTCCTTTTACTGTTTGACTTGAGAAGTATTTATTTTCACAGTTATTGCAGTAATTAGAAGTAGGTTAAAACTTGTAGGAACTCCTCCTTACCATTCTTGATTATGATAAAATCATCAAAATCACCAACTTTATCTGACTGCTCAGCTCTGATGTGTTTGTGTTACTGAGACTGAATGAGATGTTTAAACCTGCCTGTGTTGTCCGTGGCCTCTGAAAAGGTCTTATGAGGTAACTGCAGTTTCAGTTTCAGTTTCATATGTAGAGTACATATGAGATCTTAAAAGCTATGGCAATGACGTACAGTGTAACAGTCGTTGTCTGCTTGTTTTCATTGTAAGCAGATATAATATTCCTGTGTGTGTGTATCCTAGTAGGTTCACATACCACTGTTGCTTTGTTCTCCACTCACTAATCACTGTTATTGCTTTGGTGACTCACACATTCAGGATTCAGGCATTTGTTTCAGATAGTATGACAATACAGTATGAATCTGTGTATCTCACATTAAGACTTGTTTACACACTCTGTCTCTGATGTCCAAAGTGTTTGTATGCTACAGAAATGCCAGTGTGTTTTGTCAGTGAGTGCATAGTCATAAGGAAGTCTCCACGCAGGAGCCATTTCTGTGGAAAGACCTGTGGTTGTGGCAATTCTCACTGCAGTGGACAATGAGCACTGGGTAGCAAAGTGCATCCTCGTAGTCTGGGGGTCCCTCATCATCTGTGGTGAGGCGCTCTGATAGACAGCGTGTGTTTTCGCTGGGACTCTCCTGGTCATCTAAGCTGCCACTCCTCCAGAAGCAGCTGCGCTGGGAGCCGTAGCGCCGCGCCAAGGAGAACCGACTGCCACTGAAGGGGATGCGGGAGCTGGCACCAGTACAGATGCTGAGGGCGCTCCTGGAGAACACTGAGGAGCAGCTGATGGCTCTGTGGCAGCGCTCACAATTCTGACGTATCCCACTAAAGCTGGTGGGGCACTGGGCCAGGTCCATCAGGCCGGCCTCTGAGTAACTGGGCACCAGTTGCTGGTTGGACCGGATGTGCCATTCCAGTTCTGTACTGTCAATGGTGTTAACACGAGGGATACGACGCCAATATGGCCGATCATCACATGGGGTCACAGGGAGGTAATCATGCCCAAAGAGCTTCTCAACACGATAGTGGACATATGCAGTATGATACTCGGTGAAGACTCTGAGAGGCCAGGAGAAAGTGAGGAATGAGGCAAACCAGAAGACGTAGTGGGACAGATACCAGGGGTGATGCTCTGGATCACACAGCACCATGACATACTCCTTCAGGTCAATGTTTTTCAGGTGCATCCCCTCCCTGGCTTCCATGTAGTCATCAAGGCCCTCATTGTCAGTAAAAAACCGTGCTCGCTGTGTAAGGTAGGAATTCTCAGACTCTACGTTGGCAAAACTAAAGCACTTGGTGAACCGCATCTTTGTTAGAGCAGACTTCTCCAAGCCCAGCAGCTGCTTGGAAACATCTTTCACACCACAGTGACTGTAATCATATTCAGCTTCTGCCACATGGGTGTTGACACGTTCATGGTAAACCTGGGTACTAGTGTAAGCATCTCCATTGCGGTAGCGTGTGACTTGTCGCGTTCGGCGAACATAGTGATAGCTGATGGCCTTCCACCAGATGCAGGGTTTAGCTTGCTGCATCCTTTGGATGCGTTCATAGATGCCCTCCACATCCACTTTGTGCTGCAGTTCATTCTTCACATGACAGTGCCAGCACTCCACAAGATAGACTAAATAGAGCATGCCCAGTAGAGCCAGAGGGATGTAGATATAGCCATCAGAGCAGGGGCTGTCATGGTACATCATGGATTTCCCTTTAAAGGCACTGTCAAAGGTGAGGCGGGTCACCTTGGTGACATGACACCAAACCATCGCTCCCATGCAGCCATACATGAGAATGGACAGGAGCAGGCATTTCCAAAAACTCTCCCGGCATAGTGACTTGCTCAGAGATTGCTTCAGGGGTCTTTGCTGTTGAGTCACACACACAAAACAAAAGAGGAAAACTGTTATCTTCTAATTGATCATCACCTACTTAAAATGACCTTTTGCTTGTTGCAGTGTAGATCACTGCTGACTGACCTCTGCTACATCTTTAGCACAATAATGATTTTTGACACACCAACCGCTCATGCAACCATAGTAGTAAAACCCTTACATTATACAGTCCCTTGCAAAGACAATCAGTCTGCAGGCAGATAAGAGGAAAGTTATTTTAGCTCTGTGGACATTTCATGCCATTTTATAGTTGCTGGAGAGATGTTAAGATAAAATCCGAGCTATGGGCCTCTATAGCAGATGATAAGGACAGGTAAAGAGGCTGGGATTACCAATCACGTGTCCAATCATTTTACTCTGAAATCATTCATATAGGCTGCAATATCACAGAAACGCTCCTATGAGAAACTAGGAGATTATTTTTAAGACCAAATCCCTGGCAAATAATTCACCTGCAGCGTGTTACATTCTGCTCACTGTGCACATGGCGGATCCATTAAAAGCGATGCGCCAAGATCTCACAAACAGATCAAAACAGAACCACATAGGGGGGATGCTAGAAAATAATACCTCCTCCCTGGTGTCCTCCTCGAAGACGGTGGTCGTACTGCTTTCACTCGCTGTCGCAGCCGATGCTGGAGGGGACATGGTGCTGGGCAGCTATTGATAATAAAGCCAGGGCGTGGAAGTAGGAAGAGGAAGAGATTTCACTACCTTGCTCTGCAGAGTCCCTCAAGCAAGACGAGCTACTTGTCCGGCGTGCATTACATCTGTAATCACTTAGTGGCACTCCACCCTAAGAAAAGCCCAAGACGAGTCGACGGAGGCATGTTGTTGATCGGTGAAAGCCAAATTAAGGGGTTCTTTCCGGTGGCTGGAAGGAAGAAAACGGAGGGGGGTGTCTACTGGGAAGTCCGCATCTTGCCTTCTACGGTTTGGCTGTCAGTGCCGCAGTAACATGATCGTAGATTATGCTCTATTAGCCTGGTAGTCATTACAAAATGAACATGCCCTGCCCCCCGGGGCCCGCTGTGTGTCTAGCAGTGTGTGCGGGAGGAGGCGGTGCCGCAGCGGTGTGTGGAGAGCTGGCAGGGTCGCTGTCCGTGGTGCTGACTGAGGCAGGTGCACGGTGAGATGTTGTTGCATAAATTTGTCACTTAAAGGGAAAGTCCACCCTAAAACGGAGTCTTTTACCGTGCAGCTCCAGTGATGATGTGGCAGTGGATTGTATTGAATTGTGGATCAGGTGGCACTTGTGGAGGTGGTTATTAACGGTGATTTGGTGATGACTGAATCTGTCTCGTTGGCTTTTTCTGAGTGACATAACATGCAAAGGGATTTTATTTGAATATAGAGTTTATGGTTTGTGAATCAGAAAAGATATCTTGAGGAAATCAACAGCGTCCAAGGAGTTGCTTCAATATTACAGAAAAATAACATGGTTTTGATTTTAGGGTGGATTTGCCCTTTAAAACCTTTCAAAATAAAATACCCACTGTTATGCTGTTAAAAATCGATTAGGGATGTGATACAAAATTCACAAAATGTATACAGTCATGAAGGAACATTATAGTAATACTCTTATGGTGGAAACTTAAATACATCAAATTCATGAAGTCATTCGTTAATCATTGCTCTGCTTTGTACTCAGACATATGTTTAGATAACCCATAGTTCTGAGAAGGTTGGAAATAAATTATATTAGTTGCATTGACTTTGGAATATCTTGTGAGTGTGTAGTGGAAGAGGTACTCAGATCCATTACTTGAATACAAGTAGTAATACCACAATATAAAAATACTTACTTAAAGTGTCACATAAGGATAAGTATGAAAAGCAGAGCTGAAACTGACCGTTAATCAATGAGTCAGCAACTATTTTGATCATCTATTTTTGTTAAAGCGAAACTGAACAATCTCTGATTTGTTTTTTTTCTTTCTGTGGTTGTAAATAATTGCCTTGGGCTTTAATAAACTGTTTCACTATTTTATAATATTTTATAAATAATCAACAGATTCACTTAGTGAAGTGAACCTTCTCAGTCATCCAGGTTACACATTTTTAGGTTTGTTTAATAGAGCTCTAACATGATAATACAATAAACCACCCTTGCAAAGTGTTTGGGCCTGAATGAAGCCTCGTGAAATGCTTCCAACATAAAGAAATGTTAATATCAGTGCTAGAAAGAGTCCCAAACTTCCCTTTCTTTCTATGAAGAAGAAGAAGAAGAAGAAGAAGAAGAAGAAGAAGAAGAAGAAGAAGAAGATACACTTGATCCCCTAGGGTATTTTACAGTGACTTTTTTTAAAATTTGTTTAATTTAAAAAAGTGGAGTAAACTAACAGCAGTGATCTACATTACTTGGTACATTTTCACATGGAAAATCTTGAAGGCTGTGTGATTCTGTGCTGCTGTGGACTGATGTGTTTTATGGACCCAACAAAGAGATTAGCTTTTCCATCACTGAGTCACAGGTGTTAAGAATAAATATGAACACCAACAATTACTTTAGTAATCTTACACTCAATAAAACAGTATTAGAATGTTTTCAGAAACCTTTGTGAGTATTTAATAAATGTAACAAACAAGGCAGAACAGAAACCAGTGCACCAAACATAAGATCTACTGCAACAGAGCGAAGAGCAAGAAGTATATCTAATTCTTAAAACAAAGAAAGGTTGATATAGTTACCATTGATATGCTGAAGTATGGATTAGAATAGTATAAAGCACACCCAGTGTAGTGTGAACATCATTAAAAAATACTTAGAAAAACATGTTCACATAAATCAGAATGAGACTCCATCAAATATCAAAATCATATGAAATTTTGGGTCACAATTTTACTTACAACGTCTTACAAAAAATACAAAAATCTTTTCAGAATCCATTAAAAGTCTCAGAGGCTCCAGCGAACTTACTTGTTTAGTTAGTTGGTTCAGTTGTTTAAGTTACAAGTCACATGATATGCATGCATGGGTATGTATAAAAAAAGGTTACACATATTTAATTGTCCTTTTGGTGTTTTACACATTTCAAAATTGTCCATATGAGAGGTTTTTGTTTATAAATGTGTGAAGTTATATGTGCTTACAGCCACAGTATACTACATCTGAGAGATGAATCCGAATCAAAGAACTAACACACTGTTATTAGCTGTAGTCATTTTAAAGCAGAACTAATAATAAAGGAAGACACTGAAGAGTTTGTTTTAAACCAGACATAAAGTCAGTAAAGTGAGGAGTCCTGGTGTAAACCAAAATTGCAGGACAATCTTCAGCCACAGGGCTCTTTCTTCCTGTTGATCACAGCGTGTGAATCTACTACTTCCAAACTGTTTACTCCTTTTCCCAGGGTCTCCTTTTCGGATGACGAAGGGAACCCTTAAAGGGAAACAGAGTAAAGGTCATGATTGAAACAAGCTCCTGCACCAAGGTCAATACTCTTCATGTGGATTATAAATATGGCCACATGCATGAAGAAACTGCCTTCAGTTGCTTAAATGACAACAACAGAAACAGCTAACAAAATAAAAACAACAAACAGCAACAAAAAAGATAACCTGCACGTAAAGATAAGATAACCCACAGCTTTCACACAGAAAATGTAGCTTGGATAACATGCACTGGGTTCAGAACTGACCTATAGGGTCAATATAGCACCAGCACAATACTTGGTTAACTTGAGTCAGTATTAATGGAGTGTTTTGATCCAATATTTGTGTTATTTTTATATTCCTTCTGGGTTATTGAATCAAAACAACCCTTCTGTTGGGTGGCTTTCTACACATTGGTAGTTAAAATGTTGAAAGTCTGTCCCACCTATGCCAGAGCTACTTACAGAGTACATGTTGGAGAGGTTGTTGAAAAGCACTTGGCCTGCGCTCACTTTGTTCCTCACTCCTCGAATGGTCCCATTCTTGCTGCAAATATTGATCCGTTTGTTGCTGAAGACCATCTCTCTCTTGGCACTGGCGTACAAAAGCAGGTCATCAGGTTCACAGCCGTTCTCGTCCGGAGCCGTCTCCACCAGCAGGCCGTTCAGATGGCTGTTGGCCTCGCTGCTGGGAGGTGGGCTCCCCTGCTCTGCTTCTGGGCTGCTGGTGCAGTCAGAGTCCACTGAGTCCGACACTGAGCTGCACCAGGCCGTTTCATCCTTGAACACCTCCGCCAAGACCCGGCCACTGTTGGCAGATGCTACTCTAAACCTAACTGTTTTCCCTGCCTTTTCTTTCTCCTGTTTCAGGTTTGGCCCCTCCATTGAAATACAAGATTGTCTTACATGTTTCACATCCCATTCAGAGAAGCCAGACGTGCTCTTTCAGCCTAAGCCATAGTGGTATGCAATTATCAAACACTAATATCCCCATTGACGTGTCAAAATGAGCTGAAAATACCCCGAGTACAAAAACGAGACACCGAAATGGTTAATAATAGATGAGCCTCTGCCATGGTAACAGCTAAAACAGGCAAACAGTAAATTGATATAACCATGTTCAATAATTGATCAAGGTTAGTTTTCAAACAGCGGATAGACTACAGACCTGTGTCTAGTCTTAGATATACACTCAGGATATGCTCTGCTGCACAAATAATTACCCATGAAACACTACAGATAACCTTTTATTTAAATATATACCAACTTGTTGTAAAGATTACATTGCTATACAAGCTCGTCTTTGTTAGCATTATAAATTGTATTAATGTTGTGTTTTAAGTAGAAGCGCATCATCAGGGGTTTACACTAGAACAGGTGGTTACAGTAGGCCTGTGTGGATGTCAAATCAAGAGTAAAAGCAAGAAATTCATAAAACTGTCGGAAAAAAAACGTTTTCCTTTTGTCACTATTGCTGCAAAATACGTCACATATGTACATTTCCCTGTTACTGTCACCTTGACAAATCCATTATCTAAATCCATAAATCCAGGAATCACCCTGCTAAACCCATGGGATTTATCTGCCTGTTGCAGAAAAGATTTTTCCTCAGCATTAAAGCCTATTTTTAATTTTCACAGCAAAGTTACAGAGGAATTTGTAAAAGAGTGCCGTTAGACAATCTCAGGATTATTTAGCACAGTGATCGTTGCTCATCAATGAAATACGTGCCAGTATTTACATTTAAATTGTACCATCTTCAACTATGGTATTCTGTTTTAATTATGTGATTGCAAATGTATTTCATTTTATTTTTATTTTATTTTGTTATAATGAAATACAAAGTTCAGGTAAATATTGCCAAAAACATATCCAAATATCAGAAAATCATTCAACAATAGCAATCCTAGTTGATGACATAAAACTAATAATCTGCCACACTGGAAAATGAATCATGTGTTAGTCAGACTGTAAACTGGTCAGTGTTTTGATGCTGCTTTGGATGATGTATTTAAACAATATTTACATCTGTGGTTTTAATGGCCCTGTTAGTGATATTATCTCTGAACAGTTAAAAAGTATTTACCTCCAGTCATCTGCACACCGACCAGGAGCAAACTGCACACCTGTAGTTCCACTCCGGACCTGTAGATGGCAGTAACACTGCTCATGATAGCCAACAACAGCAAACACCGGAGAGGCTGGAGGACCACACGTGTAGCACAGTGTCAACATGGGTAAAAGAAGACAGAATAAGCAGCTTTTCACAAGTTTATCCAAAAAGCAGAAGAAACACTTGAAGGAATTTGGAGAGGAGCATCCGTTTCATGATGTGTAAGCAGTCCAGCAAACTCCGGCCTGTCTTAAAGGAATTATTAAACTACTTTTATGTTAGCCAACTAGCTAAGTTACATTCAGAAAGCTTAGCCAGACACAGTGGGTAGCCTATGTTAGCTATAAGTTACGTGTTATTAGTGAACACCAAAGCTAATGTTCACTAAAAGCTGGGATATATTCTCTCCTAAACTGCACTGTTTTTTTAAGATGTAGTTTGTGAGTCTTCCTGAGATGGTTCAGTTCATTTAGACGAGTAAAATGCAAATAACAACGTTAAGTTACCACACAACTGAGAAGGTTTCTGAAGATGACACCTTCAAAATCAAATAGACACAGAGCAAATGTCTGCCCATTGTGGACCTTTATTCAACTTAATAATCTATATGTGTTAGCAACATGGCTATTAGCAGAAAGGAGTACAAGGATATCAATAGCAGAAGGTAAACATTGTATCTATAGTCCATCCCTACATTATCATCACCTCTATACAATCCACTGACATCCTTGATATTGACTGTAAGCTGTTAAACAAGTAGTTGATTTAAGTAAAAACTAAAGAAACAAGCTTTTGACCAGATGAAGCTGTCTGTACACTCTTGAGATTATGAGAATAGTTTGCCTTTTTTTACTTCCTACTATCTGTCATAAACCACTGTATGTACAATACAGAGCCATAGCTGATGCACACATACTTATTTTGACTGTAATGTCAGTGAAACTTGAAACTTGTTCCTTAACAAAACACAGACATCCTCCCATATGTGATAAAACATAAATCCAAGAAACATGGTGATAAACCTTCAGAGGACGTTGTTGGCCTCCCACAACACTTTCATAACCCTAACTCATTGTCTGGTTTTCAGAATAATAAGTGCGTCACGTGCTAAAATCACTGCGGTTTACCTTTTTTTCTGTCACGTATTCTTAATACCAACATGTCAACAAACACCAAGATCTTTGTTCTTAAGTCAAGTTTGTGGTTTTACAAAACACACATGTTGTCTAAGTAGCTACATTTCCCAATGTGTTTTTTTCACAGAGTCGGTGAACCGGAAAGAACTGAAATACTGCAACTGGTGAGTAGCACTGTCTTACAGCCCATTGAATGCAATATGAGACATATGATTCCAGACAGTTTTGTAATATTTACCTATACCAATATTATAATATTACAAATTAAAGGCGCTCTGTCTTTCCCTCTTACAGCCGGCAAGCCCAGAACACTCCGACGCTGAGCCTGATGACTTTGAGGAGGAGGAGGGTGACGACGATGACGAACCAGAGCAGAGAACAGCCTATCAGAAACTTCTTTCAACTCTCAGCCAAGCCGCCAGTAATGAGCAGAGTGAAGAGGAGAGCACTGATGATGAAGAGGAAGAAGAAGAGCTTCTTAGTGAAGGTGAGTTGGTTATTTCTGGCACAATGAGGACATTATAGGCCAGAATATGGCAGTCGACTGGATATTATTGTGCTTTTTATCCTAGGAGACAGTGATGTAGTTGGTGACGACAGTGAGGATGGCGATGAAGATGAAGGGGGAGAAGAAGAGCCAGAGGATGCAGATGAGGCTCTGACTGAGGCGGTAGAAGGGGAGGAGATGGCGGAGAAAGAGCCTGGAGCTGAAGAGTTCATAGACAAGGAACACGAGTCCCAGTTCTGTCTGGAGACCAACTTCACGGACGAAGAAGGACAAGAGGAGGTTGAAGGCACTGCAGAGCATGAAGACAGCAACGGTAAGAAAAGAGTTCAGAAAATTCAGTCTGAATTAAAAATGTTCTAATAGTTTTGTCAAATATGTTACACCGAGTTGCCTGTCCAGTACCTTTTAAGAGATTCTTTTTATGTGATTTTATTTTTTTAATAAGTGCTCGCTCAGTGAGAAGATTTGAGGGGTGTGATTTGATTGAGGCATGTTTTACAGTGTTTGTTTCTCTATATGCAGACATGTTTTTACAGCATTTGGACACAGAACTCAGTGAAGAGGATGTGCAGAAGATAACATCTGGCAGCAAAGCCAAAGCTCAGATCACGGTATTAACCGCACAACTTACAAAATCAACCTGTTTTAGTTTTTACGGTTCGTGTGCTTTACTATCTTTACTTTTCCCCACATTTAGTGGCCAAAATTGGGCACTTTACTCGTTACCAATCCCCTGGAGAAGTTTGGATCCATCGGCCCACAGAAAAACACAAACCTCCCAGTTTTCCACAAACTTTTGGAGACTCGCTGGAAGGATCTGAACCAGACCTCCAACCCTAAGGGGGTGGCTCAGGAGATCAGCCAAGTACAGCTGGAACTGCTAGCCCTTATGGGCTCCTACAAGGACCTCTACTATCCAGAGACTTGTCCTCTGAAACAGGGCCCACAGGTTCGCAGTACATACTGCCTCCATGTTCTTAACCACGTTCTGAAGGCCAACTCCCAGGTCCTGGCTCACAATGCGCAGCTAAGAGAGCAGAAAACTCAGGCTAAAGCTGGAGCTGAGCCACAGGACGAACCCAGAGACCAAGGACTGACCCGGCCCAAGGTAAAGTACTAAATTCATAATGTTTGGGTTTTTTAACAAAGCTTAACATTTTTAAACATCACCAATATTTATCAAATTCATTTATAATTAGTCTTATAAATCCCGCCACTAACGAGCACATTTTTGAGTTCTCATCTGGTTGAAAATTTTGCCGGTTTTATACTCAAATACCAAGAACACTTAGTAGTAAATGAAATGCAAGTTCATTAGGTTTCTGTACAGCAGTTTGGCCCCCAGTTCTCAGGCTGGATCACACATGTAATTTTTTCTGGAATCACTGGATTCCCTTTATGTACTTAATGATGAAATGAAACGATCTAAAACCCAACATGAACGTTATAATGACTTCAGAATGTGAATGTGTCAGGTCCTGATTCTCGTCCCGTTTCGAGGCGGAGCTCTGCGAGTCGTCCAGACACTCATCAGCCTGCTGGAGACCAAAGGCAGGAAGATAGTGGTCAGCAACAAGAAGAGGTTCAAGGAGGAGTTTGGCGAAGAGGCAGACGACAAGCCATCCAATCTGCAGAGACCGGACGATTACAGCGCCATCTTCTCGGGCAACGTGGATGATCACTTCAGGATAGGTACAGTTTAACAAACATAAGTCAACCCACCTTTTGGATAACCTCTTAAGTGTATCAGTCTGAGGCCTCATTGCTGTCCTCTTTACTCACCAGGGGTCTCCATCGTGAGGAGCAGCATCCGTCTGTACTCCCCCTTTTATTCCTCGGACATCATCATTGCGTCTCCGTTGGGCCTCCGTACAGTGCTGGGAGCTGAGGGAGAAAGTAAGAGAGACTTTGACTTCCTCTCCTCCATCGAGCTGCTGGTGGTGGACCAGGCAGATGTCTTACTCATGCAAAACTGGGAACACGTCTTGGTAAGAACACACAAGTGATAAACATGATACATTATATTTTTAGTGCTTGGAAGGAGTTGGTGCCATCTGCTGTTTAAGTTAAACACTTAGGAAAACACTGCTGGAGCCTTGACAGAGCATTTCAGGTTAAGGTTTGTCTTTATAAAGGGTGATATTCCTTTTGTTAAAAGAGTCACATTTTGTAACTTGTAATAAATGTTCTATAAATAATCATTTGTTTACATACCAAATCTGTCAAAAGTTGGTGTAGTTCAGGTGTGTCAGTATACGTTGATCTCCTATGTAAAATCACATGGTACACCCCTCTACAGCATGTGATAAAGTACATGAACCTGCAGCCGCTGGACTCCCATGGAGTGG